CGGCCGCCGCGGTACGGCCGCGGTTGCGTGCAGCGAGCGCGCTCAGCAAAGCTTTCTTCTGCAATCGCTTTTTCTACCCTGATCAAACTTTACCTACAAACCACCTTAAGAGAAGGCAACATACCTTTTTACCTAAGGATAACCCCCCCCCCGCCCCGCATCTCATCGAGGGGTTCAGCATTTCCCTGGAAACACCTAAGCGTGGGGGCCGTGACAAGGCACGGGCGGAGGGACGGCTCTCCGGGCGGCTGGGACAGGGGACAGCCAGCCCTTCCCGTGCTCGGCCCTCTCAGCCCTGCCTCCGTGCCCAAGGGTGACGCGAAGGTGCTCTTCTCCTGCACCCTGGGCTAACCCGGGCTTCATTTTTGTCCAGTCCTGTAGCCAGCACTTTTTTTTCCTCCTGAATATTTATATGTATATATTAGATGTATTCTCATCCACGTATACCCATACATTTACGAATACATCTCTAAGTATTTTCTCCCCTAAATAGCAGTATGGAACCTGCCTCACGTCCTCGATCACTTGAAGGATATTCCTCAGGCTCGGAGGCCGCAAAACATGCGGCCGGTGATGCCTGCAGACTGCTGCCCTTGAGACGCTAAGGACCTTCGTTTTGTTGGCATGATTTTAGAAAAGACATTTCTCGCCCCAGAAGCATACTTTGCGCTGAGACTGCCAAATCATCATTAGCTCAACGTAGGCTCACTGCAAACTTACTCCTTTTCTCTCTTACATACCCCAAATTTATCCAGGATTGCATCGAGGCTTTTTTCTTGAGCCCTTGAAAACCGAAGCCGTGCTCCTTGGGTTTTTAGGGAGCCAGTTTGTCCCCGTGGCATTGCCGGTGCAGATAGCACACGTTTCATCACATCTTCTGAGTGAATCATGTTTTTAGCTGCCCAAAATTTAATCTCTTATCGTTTGAGGTTTGCCCAACCACGACTGCAGATGACCTCATGTCTCGAGTGTGACTACTTTCCCGATTGCTTGTGTGTGCACACATTCATCAGCGCTCGTAATTAAAGAGTTCAGCTCACTCGTTAGCAGAACCAGTTCAGAGGCTGCCCATTCTGGCCTGTTCATATGTTTATATTGTTTACTTACACAATTATTTGCTTCCAGTTTTGTTTTTTAATGGATGTAGACTATTAGGTGCAGTCATAACTATCTGAGAAGCTTTTGCTGCTATTTCCTGTTTCTTGGACATGCAAACCTCCGTAAGCGTGGAATTTCAATTAAAGATTGCATTTATATTGCTCAATTCCTTCTACATAGAGTGACTTTGGTAGCGCTGGATGAGAAACGACCTTGGTCCATAGTTCCTGTATGCTTATTTTCTTTGTGTTACAGAAATAGTCTTCAAAGAGATTTCATTCTTGTTTTATCCACCTACAGGACAAAGTGTACAGGAGTTTTTAACATGCTAATTTCAAGAGTAAAATCACAGCCCTGCTGAAGGCAAGGGGAGTTTTGCCCCTGATGTCATTGAGACAGGATTTCATGCAAAGACACAATGTAAAGCGGGAAGGCAGGAACGAAAGTGGGGCCAATACTGTATCGGCATTTTAAAGCATCTCTTTGTCCACCACAAAGTCAATATTTAGCTGATCTGCCTACATACTTGTGTCCCCCATTATCATTATAATACTTCCCAAGTATTAAGATAGAACTTACAATTCATAGCCAACTTCTACTTAATTCTTCTCCAGGCAGAACAGTCACTTAGGTTAGTGCTGTGCACTTCAGCGAGGACTTCAGCATGCAACCCGTAAGAAGTCAGGAGGGCTGAATAAACTGGAATGAGAATTTATTCCAAACTTATATCAAACCAAACAAAGCTCCAAAAAACGGGTTTCTGCCTATTGTTTATTTTCATCTATATTTTCCATGTCTTAGAGCAATCCAGCTCTTGGTTCATCTTTTATTCACGGAGGCCTCCAAGAAAGCCAGGGAGACTGGGGAAGGAAGTCAACTTTTAAGAATTTACCGTTTTCTTCCATTGGCTTAGTACAGCTGTGGCTTTAGATTACTTTGGTGGATTATTTTGACAGAAGTAGAGATTATGTTAGCAGAGAGAGATAGGATGGAAGGTAGGATCGTAGGAAGGACGTCAAAACATCGGAGTGGGAGGTGTTTGGGCCTCGCAGAGCGCAGAGAGTTTGAGGAGAGCGCTGCGGGTAGAAAACTGCCTGTTGCAGGGGAAAGGTCCCAGTGACATGGAATAAAAACCCAGAGGAAGCTTGTTTTGTTATTTGTGCTGCTCGTGGAACAACTTGTTTATTCTTGTTTGGAGCAAGAGCGTGAATCATTGCTCTTTCCTGGGATAACGATGTCCTAACGGCCTTTTCCCCCCACCCCGGGAGCTGCCTCACACTGTGGCTGACGCCAGTATGAATGCTCAGGATTTGGCTCCTTGAAAGATTTGCCCGAGGAAAAAAAAAAAAAAGGAAATAAAAACTGCAGAAGCTCTTAAAAACTGCAGAATTGTCCCAAGCTCTGTATACTAAATAGAGATTTCTGATATTTTGCAGTGCTGTTTTCTGTAAAAACAGTGTACACAGTATCGCTGCAAAGGCCTAAACGTGTGCCATTCTAAGAGTGTTTAAAAGAGGCTATTTATAAACTGTCCCTTTGCAAAGAACATTTTTAAAGTTTTAACTGGCGAAACGGCCTTGTCTTAGGGCCAGAAGGTCTCGCTGGCAGCTGGTCAGCATTCAGCTACCTTTTCACGAGGGAAGAAAATCACCTCTGGGCAGGAAAGATCAGAAAACAAAGGATAACTTTTTAGAAAGCTGAAAATAGTGCCTTGCGCTGAAAGCACTTCCTTAACAACCAGCAGCGTCAGCCTGGCGATGCCGCGAAATTCTGCCTGCAGCCTCGGGCGGGGGCAGAGAACGATGATGCTACGCGAGCTCAGCTCCGTTCTCAGATGCCAGCGTGAGTTTGCAATCCTGACAGTCAGAGGGGTCTTGTTCTGACTCGTGAACTAAGGAAACGTTTCGCAGGGAACAAATCCGAGCGCAATTTTTACGGTCACTTTACAGACAGCAACCGCCTTTTCCCGAGACGGGTAGCGTGTACGGTTACCTCAAGGGCCAGCCCTTTCAGCTAACAGCAGGTTATCAGTTATGGTCACAAATGTCACAGCTGCCGCTTTCTGAACCAAAAACGCCGAGAGCGGGAGACCATCTGAACACGGACGAACCAACGCCACAGGTGAAAACGCCATGAAGAGGAGGCACGGAGTCCCTGTGCGATGAGATATCCCTGGTACCGGAGGGAAAGGACTTTACTCATGTTTTTAATACCTAGAGGGTATCCTTCACCATTTTTTGGTCGTTTGTATTCTTCACTGTTGATATTGCAAAGGAAACTGTTAACATTTGCATATTTTTCGTACCAAAAGCCCAGACTACTCTTTGGATAAGATTCTTGCATTTTTTTTTTATTTTGTCGGTGCATTACTGAACACACGATTTTGGGCCTAAGACTGCTCTACTGAATGCCCGACCCCGCCAGCCACTAGCCCCAAAGGGAACAAGCTGCAGCTTTCCCTGTTTCTTGGGAAATGTTTTCTCCTTTAATTGAACTGAGCAGTGTAACAAGACTGGGACACGCTTCCGTAGCGCATCAGCCATCTTCAGTGCACTGAACCCGCCGCACCTGGTTGTCTGTGCACAGATGGTCTTAAAAACGTAAAGCTCCAGCACATGGGATCGTTAAGCGCTAAATATATCGTAGTCAAGGTCCAACCTCCTCATCAACTCCCATTAGTTTAGGCACAGAAAAATGGATTGTAGACCCATGTTTTTATAAAACTCACATAATTTTATTACAAAATTTGTATTGTACACGTGGTGATATTTCCAGTTTTAGACAGCCTAAGTACAAAAGCAAAGTCATATTCAGAACCTGGGAAGATGAAAGCATCTCCTCCAAAAACTGCAACGAGCAAAATATGCTGAAGCTGCTGCTGTCTTGGGTAGGAATAATTAACTTCTCTGTTTGCAGGGTAAGTAACCAGATAATGCTATGTAATTGCTTACGATTTGCATTGCTTGAAATGGTATTGCTAATTTCCAGCAATGATTAGCATGTCATTTAAATAATTATTCTGCACCACATCACGTGGGCGCTTCAATAGCACGCATCTCTGCTGTGAAATTCCTAGAGGTGTTCTCAACATTTCTAGGTGTTTGTAGGCTGTACCGTACCTTGGCTGTTTCAGCGTTTGGGGAAAATAACAGCAAAAGGGAGCTCAATAACACTGCATTTCCATAGTTCTCTTAACCCTTAAAGATATTTTAAAAGCATGACTGCTGAAAGAACTGACCTGCCTGATTTAACGTATGCAGCCTGACACCCTTCCTTCGCCCCCGCCTCGTCGCCCGTCCCAGCAGGTCGGTTTTGCACAGGGCAAAGGCGCCCGCCTTCCTCCCGCGGCCCGCTGCTGGTGCGAGTCTCCCGCCCAGCCCGCGCAGAAACGCACAGCATAATCGTAGGACGGAAGGGAGCTGCCGGTTCTCAAGGCGCAGCGTCCTCGGCGGAAGACGATTCGATAGTCGCCGGCGAGGGGCAGCGCGGGTTTATCCTGTCCCGGCAGCGCGGGTTTCGCGCGGCCAGAGCAGAAGAGCAGCCATGGCAGATTCAGCCTCGTGCAGACTTTTGGCTCTTGTTTCAATCCTGTATGAAGGAGGGACTCCACAGACTGACTGGGCTGCTGACACGTTTTCCTTCGGCTTTTTTATGCCCTCTGTTCACTTTTAATCCTGATTTTTTGCAGTCAGTTATTATTTTTACTCACAGCTTTATAAAACGTACAGTGACTAGCACTAATCCCTTCTGAAACTCTTTGACTGACAGTGCGTTAGTTCATAGATCTTACTTTGTCTGTCTGCACGAGATCGGGGTAAGCAATGTTTTTGAAGCCACCAAAAAATAAATGTGCAGTCAATTCATTCAACTATACAGAGCTCTGAGATTCTCTGCATTTCATTCTACTGCCACCCACGCTGCAGATGTCATCTTAAAACCATCAATAGCTCTTGGGTTTTTTTGCTTTATTTGTACTATTTACATGACAAACCTTAATGTCATTGATCCTATTTAAAAGATAACAAAAAATCCCACAGCCATATGTCAATTTGTTAACATTGATTGACTGGCAGGAAACCAAGAAGCCTACATAGGCACATCCTTTATGGGAGAGTAGATGGAGCCAATCGTTAGGAGGTCGGGCAACGTTTTGCCTTGATTCACTAGAAATAATATAGGTCACCCGATTTAAATGCTGTAAGCAATAAAAGGAACCACAGTAGTTCACAGTAATAAGAAAAGCTTATCCTGGGAATTTGCCCTGATTCTAGCAATTAGCAGTCAGCTATCGATGAAGCAAGAATACTGCCCTTCTTACATCTGGGTAAAGGAAGCTGAGATTACCCTCTGTCCGAGGCGCGACGTGAAGGTAAATTCCCCCCTTGCAGAACAGGTTTTTTCTGTGTCAGGCCTGGACCGGCCCCCGAGGGCTGGAACAAGGGCAAACTCTCAGCCAGCGTACACCAGTGCATTTCCAGAGCCGCAGACTGCCATGCCCTTGCTTCCTGAAACAAGGCGGAAACCCTTGTAAATATGATCCTTCTCAAACTGCGGGAAGTAAAGCAAGGAAAAGGGACCCACAAGAAAGACAGAAATAAAGGGCTCTTAGGGGAGACGGCACTGAACTCGGATGCAGGCAGATTTCGGCAGGTGGCTCGCCTGGCTGGTTCCCTCATCCCTCCTCTCAACGCGGCTGTCGCCTCGAGCAACTCATCACAGAAGTGCTGTTCTCTTATGCCTCACT